CAATAAAGCACATACTCTGTAGGTAACCAAACAATATGCAGGCAGTGCCATGGCAGGTCAAAATCCAGGCCAGGGTTGCCTCCTTTGATCTGCTCAAAGCACTGAGAGAGTTCTCTAGGTTTTCCCCAGTTCAGTGCACCACATGCTGCTCTTTCCTAATACTGCTATGGAAAACCTTTGGTGCCTCTGAGGCATTTCTCAGCTACCAGGAAGTACCGAGTATAGCAAAGACACTCTCGAACCTGCGCCTAATTTATGGTTCAGTAGACTTTATTTTCATGTATTTCAGTAGATATTGATATAAAATAAACTGAAGTGACAGTGCATAACTGGGTGAAGTACTCAATGATCAGCTATTTTGACCATTTCTGGATGAGTTTAGATACTTTTTTTTTTACTTAAAGAAAAAATCAACTTTCTTCCTTGTTTTAAATATTAATTTTCAGCCTTGTTGTTACCATGTTCTTTGTATTCATGCATGTAAAGCATAATGGAAATCACACAGGTGCAGCTGAGAAAGTAAGCATATGATACTGTGAAAAATTTGGTAGAATGCTATTAAAACTAGGTCAGACAATTCACTTGCTGTAGTGGAAGAAACGTAATTTCACTGACAAAGACGAGAGAAGATGACCTAATTGGGTATCTTTAATCTTTCATGCCTATTGTGCTACAGTAGAATCAAGATTCTTGACCATCTGTCTGACAGTGACAGACAGCACTAAGGGTTTTACACAACTAACAACAAGACAAGCAGGCAARGCGGAGACTAGTTATCACCAAATAATGCAAAGCAACTTTTGCTGTTAGGTGCTCATGATGCTTGAAATGGCAGTGGTGGCTCTTCCTCTCCACCATCAGCTCCTACTCAGCAACATGCATGAGCTGCTTGGGGAGACAGGCCTCAGGCTTGTGAGACTTGGCACCRAGGCCAACTTGCTGTGTGCTAGTCTCACCACAGCCATGGACACCCTTTCACCCCCACGCACAGCCTCTCCGTTTGCCCCAACATTTTGCTGGGGCAAGAAGCTACTTGCTGGAAGGAACTCAGCTCGATAGATAAGCTTTACCATACTTAAGGAAACATTCTTAACAGTGAGGGTGATAGAGCCCTGGAATAGGCTGCCAAGAGAGGTAGTGGAGTSTCTTTCTCGGGACATCTTCAAAACCTGCCTCGACGCAGCTGTGTGCCATGTGCTCTAGGTGACCCTCTGTGTGCAGCGGGGTTGGACTAGATGATCTCTAAAGGTCCCTTCGAACCTTAAGGAGTCTATGACTCTATGACAGCAGTGATCTATATAAAATACAATACAGCACTCTCTATGTTTAATATAAACTAGTAGGAAGTCAAGATAAACACTTAATGTAAGGTCTCAACTGAGAGATGGTATTTATCATGATCTTGTCTGACCTGTTCTAACAGGTCACAAAAATTCTCACAATTTCTGCATCAAGACAGTACATTTTCTGATTTGGAGCAATCAAAATACTTTTGATCTGGATCTAGCAATTTTAAGGGAAGGAGACTACTTATCTAATACTCTGTGGTAAATTAACTCCCTGTTTTTACTGCTAAATGTACATGTTTCATTTCCAGTCTAAATTCCTCTTCATGTCATTGAACTATGTTAAGTGGCTAGAGAGTTAATGAATTTATGGAAAACTTATACAGAGGTAAGTTTACATATGGATGACATTGTTTATCAGATAGAGACAACATAATATAACTGCATAACTGACAACCTCCCCTTAATCCGGAAAACAATTCTATCCTATACAGCCTACTAACTTTAAAGCTGCTGCATTAAACTATTTACCAAAAATAAAGTTTACATAAAGTCTGAGTCAGGATTTCGTTCSAACAACCAGTATTCACGCTCTGATTTGTTGCTGGGTGTGCTACAGAGGAAATCCTCACGAGCGGCACAACCTGCACAGCAATACTGTCTGATGCCGCCGTGCTGCTGCCAGGCAGCACCGCTGGTTTCCTGGAGTTTGCTGCCATCTCCTGCACTTCGGCGGCACGGCAGGGAACTTCACCATGGAGCCTCTCCTGTTCCCTGCTGACGCGTTCACCAAACTGCCTATACTCCTGGAAAGACTTATGGGCCTTGTTGGTACCCCTTACGACCTACATTCAAGATGAAAAATACCCACCTTGAGTCAGTTTGAATGAAAAATCATACTGAGTCCAGTCTGAAGCCTCCTGTAAAAGGCAGGTACTGGAATGAATCCAGTGGAACACAAGATTATTGAGGGCTGGAGGACAAGATGTATGAGGAGCAACTGAGGAGGCTGGATTTGTGTTCAGCCTCCAGAAGAGAAAGCTTTGGAATGATCTTGCAGTTGTTCGTCACTACATGGAGGGAGGAGGCAGGGAGGATGGAGCCAAGTTCTCCTTGGAAATGCACAGTGGTTGTACAAGATCAATATATGTAAAGTGCGTTCCAGGAAAATTCAGATGAGACTAAGGAAGAAAGTTCATCATGATACCAGTATGCATTTGGAACCAGGGCCAAGAAAAGCTGCAGAATCTCAGTCATAGAGACACTCAGACTTCAGCTGGATGAGGTCTCCAGCAGCCTATGCACCTACAGCTACTCTCGCAGGGGGCTGGACTTGGAAGTCCTTCAGAGGCTCATGCCTGCCCAAATTATCCCCTGGTTCCATGTTGCTGCCTTTATTCGGTATTTTGGTTAGTACTGAAGTGGYTTTTGTTGTTGTTGTTTTTGTTTTTTTTTAAGAGGACAAATATTTAACTTATTTAAACTGCCATCTCCTACTTGGAGAGGAACAGCTTCTAACTCAGCTCAAACAGAAGCAGTTAAAGAACTGAAAATATCATGCCACAGAAAAGCTGCATATTTTTTGTCCTGAGTGCTTGCAATGTCTTTCTGGGTAGCATGCATAATATTTGTACTTTATTTACTTACATATTTGAGAGTCAACTCAGAAATCCATGTCTTTGTGCATATCAGATGTACCAAAGAGCTAGAGAAGCACCCATTCCTCAGGCCATCCTTGAAAGCGTGGCCAATGGTGCAGCACACATGTGCTCAGACAACACTGCAATACACTGCAGCCAGGTAAGCCCAGAGCAGGCTACAAACCAGCTCATGGCACTGCTGCGTTTTCAACACACATCCAGCTGTGAGGCTTAAGAGATCTTACTCAAACAGCCGAATAGCAGTCTCACTGATCATCTCACACTGATTTTGTGCTTTTTAATCAGAATTGGTGACAGCAGGAAAAAGAAAAGTGAAAATTGTATTGAAATGCATTGTTTTCTCTTTGAAAAATAAACGAGTATTTTCTCTTCCTCACATAAAGGAAAATGAAAGGAAAAGGAGGGAAATTACATTCTCTATTTCCTCTATTTCTCCTATATTATTCACTGAAATGATATTCCCTTCCCGAAGCAGATGAGGAAAGTACAAATTCATTGTAGTCATTACTAGAAATATTGCTGAATTAAAGACTGTGTGAATGTTTTAAAGACTGAAGATACAATGTACCCAGGATATTTTTTATCATTAGCAGTGTAGTACTTGGGCCGATGAGAAGAAAAAAAAAWAAGTATTTTTGCTAATTCATGCTAGACGTGTTTTTTTTTTTTTTTTAAATTCCTCTATTTTTCAGGTTCTGTCAGTAATTCTATTACTAATGACTGGTACTGTAAAAAAATCTTCTATGGTTAATAACAGAACTTAGCCTAMGACTTCTTTTGTTACAAAAGATATATTTTAAGTGGCATATCTAAAGAGGGCTTACTCTTTGTATTTTGTTATTTTTTTCATTACTTTCTGTAACACAGATAGTGGCTTGCATCTAAAATGTACTGAATAACACATTTAAGTAACAGAGTACACAATTAAGACAGACTCATTTTAGCTGTGTCTTGAACAGTCAAAAATACATTGTGCTGTAGCCCTCCAGAAACTAAACTCACAGTAGACACATAGCATGGCAGGGTTCTGTAAACACTTGCCACAGAGAGATAAAAGTGACATTAAAGATCCARAAACAAACACATCCTATCCTCAACACCAGCACACACTGCTAAGATGAATGTGGAAAGTTAAGAAAACGAGGATAAGGTGGTGAAAAGCCTTGTGGGCTTGGTCTAAGAGATGTACCATTTTGGGTGGCCGTGAAAGAGTTCCCTATTGATTTTAGCGACCGCAACGGTTGACAGCAGAGCTTTCCTCACAACCCTACGATTTGCGTTTTGTTCACACATTACCCTTTGGGAGCGACGGCGCTTCCAGGCTCGCTAGGCTGGCTTAGGGCGATGCCAGCAGCCCCTTCGACGGCACGCGGCTCTGAAGGAGGCGCAGAGAAGGCTCCTCCAGAGACAGCTACGGAGCTACAGCCGCCCGCCGCTGCACAGAACCGGACCATGACGGGATACAGCGCCACCGTGCCGCTCCCAACCGCGGGAACCCTCAGTTCTCCGCGGCGACCGTTAACGCTCTTAACGGCCGCCAGCGCCTGCGCCCCTGATTGGCCGCCGGGCTGGGCCGGGCCGGCCCCGCCCCCACCCGCCCAGGTGAGCACGCGCACGGGTTGGGTCGGGAGAGGCGCCACGGCCACGTGACCGCCCCGTGACGTCACCSCCGCCTCGGCGGCGGACCGCGCGCCTGCCCCTCCCCCCGACACACCCGGAAGCGGCGCCGTTGCGAGCGCGCACGTGACCCTCCTCCCCCCACCTGCCCCGTCCCCAGTCACGTGCCCCGCTGGGCGGCCCCGGCGCTCTCCCCGTGCGCGTGCGGGCCGCGCGCATGCGCAGCCGGCAGCTGTCATCCGCGCACGGAACAAGAAGTCCCAGAAAGACGGGGCGGGGGGGGAGAAGGGGTAAAAGAACAAACCCAAAACAAACAAAAAGAACAAAACAAGAAAACGGAGCGAGAAGGCGAGCGGGGAGGGGAAGGAGGGGCACGGGGGCCGCCGCTCCGCACGGACGCGGAGCGCAGCGCGACCCTCCCCCTGCGCCCCCCCGCCCGCCTCTGGCTGCGGCCGCGTTAACCCCCTGCTGCCCGGGTAGGCGGGGCGTGCGCGGGGGGCGGGGCTCGCGCGGGGGGCGGGGCGTGTGGGGGCAGGGTGGACCAGGTGGGGGAGGGGCAGCGCCCCACTGTGGGGAGGGGATCCCCAGTTTGGGAAGCAGTGGCCCAGTTTGGGAGGGGAGAACCCCAATATGGGGGGCAGGTGTCCCAGCATGAGGGGAGGCATCCCAGCACAGGAGAGGGGGTGCCCCAGTTTGGGAAAAAGTGCCCCAGTACGGGCAGGACCCCAGGAGATGGACAGGGACCTCACCATGGTGGAGAGGACCCCTGGGTGGAAGTTCTCCAGTACKGGAGAAGTGCCTCAGTGTGGGGTGGGAGTGCACCTCTGTGGGGTGGGAATGCCCTAGGATGGGATGGGAGTRCTGCACGTGGATGGAAGTGTCCCCGTGTGGGGTGGGAGTCCTCCAGTATGGAGTGGGAGTGCTTCATTGTGGGTGGAAGTGTCCCACTATGGGGTGGGAATCCTCCAGCATGGGATGGGAATGCCCTAGTATGGATGGAAGTGTCCCAGTGTGGGGTGGGAGTGTCCCGGTATGGGGTGGGAGTGCTCCACTGTGGATGGAAGTGTCCCGGTATGGGGTGGGAATGCCCCAGTGTGGATGGAAGTGTCCCAGTGTGGGGTGGGAGTGTCCCAGTATGGGGTGGAAGTGCTCCACTGTGGATGGAAGTGTCCCGGTATGGGGTGGGAATGCCCCAGTATGGCATGGGAGTGCCACAGTGTGGATGGAAGTGCCCCAGTAGGGATGTGAATGCCCCAGTATGGGGTAGGAGTGCTCCAGTATGGAGTGGGAATGCCCTGGGATGGGATGGAGGCGCCCAGTGGGGATGGGAAGGCCCCAGTGCAGGGGGAGCGCCCGACATGGCGGCCGCAGGGCGGCCCTCATGGAAGCTGCCCCTTGGTGCTGGGTCCTGCAAGGGGACGCGGGGCTGGAACTGCCACCCCACGTGGGCACCGTGTGGCTTGGCCGGGCTCGAGGCGAGGCCGGAATGGAGGGGGAAGGCAGCAGGTGCCGGCAGCAGTGTCTCCGGCGGCYGCGGGCCCTGCTGGCACCGGGCCGGGCAGGCCCGACCGGCGCTGGAGCCGCTCCGGAGGGAAGGAGGGAGAGCAAGGAGGCCRGGGCCTCCTGCGAGCAGGAAAAACAGTCGTTTTTGATACGGTTGAGCTTCAGTGCTACCAGTATTTACACTTGTTTAAGACATCAGCAACACCAGCAGTGGGTTGTCCAATGGAACTACCTCTTCTACACTGACATATTCATCACAAGAAAAATACAATGGCCAACTGATACCAACATCTTTGTCACCCTGCATTGTTTTCTTGATCATGATTCTGCTTAAACAAGGATGTGTTTGTACCTGTGGCATAAAATTTGCCGTGGCATGAGCTGGTGCTTGCTATTGGAAATAAGGGTGAACCGAACCCATGCCGGTCGTGCTCCTCTTGCTCCTGTCTTTGGTTTTGAGAGGTGCTGATGCTGTTGGTGGTTGGCAGCTGGAGGTTTACTTTCAGCTAAGTGCAGATATGGATAAGTTTAACAGCTGTCTTATTTATTTATTTAATTTGATGGGGGGGGGTGGAATTGGCACAGGAAATAACCTGTCTAGATAAGTGGTCACGATTTAAGTAATAGCTAGATCAAAATTAGAGCAAATGTGAATATGAGGAAAAAGAAGTAGATCAGCTTTGTAGCTTGAACTACACTATCTGATTTGACCTCATAATTTTTAAGGGAAAAAAAAGAGTGAAAAAAAATACTCTTGGTTTTAGATYTTGTAGTCTTTAATTCTTGATTAGTGAATTTTTGAATACAACATTTTGTGTTTATGGGCCTGATTTTTATACAAGTCAGGTAGACAGTTGTGCACCAAACCCAAATGCACAATTACCTCAGTAATGCATTCAAATCAGTAAATTACATTGGTAAGTGCTAATTATTTTAATTGCTGTAAGCTAGTATGAACAAGTCTAGTAATTGTTAAAAAAAAAATCGTGATTTCACACCTACTATTAAGAAGATGGATTAAATAAATTTTAGGCCTTTTTCAGTTTCAGCACCTCTTTATCGGACTACTTAGTTCTGCAATTAATTAATTTTGAGATTTTCTCTTTTTTTATATAGTTGTCTTTCACCTAGATATGTTTTTATTGCGCCTAATGTGCTTGGGGCTAATGGTTTAACATTTTATGTTTTCACTATCAATTTTTCTAATCACCTGATATCTTAATATTACGTATCTCAAAACTGTAAACAAGTGGCRTGTTGAGTTCTTGCTGCTCACTGAGATTCATAAAGTGACTTGTAGTTAAGTTTAAAGAACTGGAATATTTTATGCTTGGAAGGTGGTAGTTGTTGCATAGCCAAATSCTTTAGTGAAAGTGTTTGTAAGCACTAGTTGATGCGAAGTTTAAAGTGCATTTTCTCCTCATGCTGTGGTTAGTAACTATTTACAGTTTGTTAGATAATATCATATATTGCAATTTATATTCTGTTAGGCTTGTATTTTTTCATTTTGATCTCAGCCAATTGTGAAGCTAAGCACAACACGTTAAGTTGTTAACTTTATTCATATGGAAAGTCCTACTGATYTAAACAGAGTGAAGGATAAAAATGAGTGCTTGCATAATTCTAATGTTTGGATAAAGATAAAACCAGTACTATGCTAGCAGCAGATTTGAGAAATGATCCGTGTGTTAACCTAAGATGCTAAAATATGCAAAGCATCTTTGTGACAATGAGACTAAATCATTTTGCCGTTCTGATCCTCTCTAAGTAGTAGAAAATCTCATGGCTTTTGTTGCAGACCCTACAGAGGAGCSTTTAAATTCACAAACAAAATGTATTCCCGTTCCTCTGTGGCATTTCTGCTGGAATGGTTGGAACAGCTTGATTGGGGCTGTTGAGATTTAGCACACAGCTAAATATTGTTGGCTTCTGGCTAGTAAAACTGAAARGTTAAAGGATAGCTGTTCTTTAAGAGGACAGAAAGAGCCACTCTTTCTAAATTCTTCATAAATACTTTATGATAAAGGAGTTGCTGTGATTGATTAGGTTTTGTTTTTGTTACGAAGTTTATTTTCTCACTCAAGAGTAATGATTTATAACTTGCTGMAGTTATTAATGAATCTGTTTTGAATGGGATAAAATATTTTCATTCGGAGAAAGACAGGTATCTGTAACTGAAAAGAAATTTAGAATTGGGGAAGAAGCACAGAAGTTTGCAAATAAGACTTCTGAGGAAATAGAAATAAAAGTGTACTTTAGAAAMAATCGAGTCTACTGCATGGAAAATTAAAGATGAAGTAAGAAGAGTTATAATACATAGTGGAAGATACCTCATTGAAAATTTTTCATTTTTGTTATCTGTCATGATTCCCTAAATATCTGGAGTTTATTCCTACAGTTTTGATAAGAATAAAATTGTTTATGCTTAGGTTTGATTACAGACTGAACTATTTGTAATACTTAATCTGAAAAAATGATGACAAATGTTTGAAAGTGAGATCAGTGAGAACTAAATATCTAGTATTAGGAAAAATATATTAGGTAATATTAGAGGAAAAAAAAGCTGTCTTTTAGTGGCCTTTTCACTTTAGGAATTGTATGGCTTCCATTTGAGTTTGTGATATTTCTGAGCCATCCCAGTAGAAATATCTTTGTTTTATTGAGTTATAAGTCATTGCAAATTCCTGCTATACATAGATTAAAAACACAAAAACATAATTTATTCTTCATTGAACTTTTTGCATTAGAAACCAGTGCAATGTACTAGTGCTGCAACTTCAGCACAGTTAAAATGAGCACTACTGTTTCTTCCCTGTTAAAATATTGTGGATTAGAGCCATGTATTTTGCAGGACCTGTTTTGTGAGTTCATATTAAGCAGTGGTTCTACTTTATTTATTTTCTRAGTGTTCTGAGTGGAGTAGTATTTGTAGACAGTGTTTCTTATGAAATTTTGAAGCCAAAGCATCATTCCTTAGTCCTGAAAATGTGAGAATTGGGGGGTCTAGAAGAAGGAATATATTGCTGAGAATCAGGAAAGCAGAGAGAGAGGAAGGTCAGTGATCGATACCAGATGTTGCCCCTCTCTCCTATTCCAGTTAACATGGGCAGGTTGAAGATGTGCTGTGAAAGTCAGTCATCTGGCAGAGAAAAAAATGCCTTTTTTTTTTTTTTTGGATTTGCAGTGCTTTCTCATGAGATGAAATCTTTATGAAAACTTTGAAGCGGAGGATGGATAAATAGATACGTGGTGGAGGCCACCTGACTGCGGAGTGGCAGTTGTTGAGGTGTGCCCAAAAGCAGGTTAAAGGATAGCCTGGGAAGCAGCCGAATGGAAAGCAGCTCCAGAGTGTCTGAGGTGTGTGGAGATGGGCAGGGATGGGGTGCTCAGCGCAGCTGGCTGTGGCAGAAATCCTGCTCCTCCTGCTCCATGGAAATAGCTCTGTTACCTTTTAAGCTGAAGAATGCTCTGTGTTGCTTGTTGGTGATCAGGGTGATGGTGCCCTGAAGTCACAAGGCAGAGTGCAAGCGCTTGCAAACTCTTGCATCAGCTCCTGAGCTGCAGAAAACCTTGCCCATTCTATGAGTATATCAGCTACTTTGGGCTAATTTGTGAGCATCAGCATTAAAGTTACCGGTCTGTTCAGTTTTTACTCTCCTGCTTTGCAGACAACAAAATGATTTCAGGGGAAAAACAAAAGGGGGGGAGGAACTTCAGTGTTTCTAAAGCAGAAGACAGAAATGTTCTGGAAAAGGGATAGTGTGGGAGGAGGGACAAGGAAGTGAGAAGATGTGGCTCAGGTAAATGATCGTGTTTATTAAGCTGTGTCCACCTTTGTGCGATGTGAGGCCTCCGCTCTGGCAGTTCTGCTCCCCTCGTGCGTGTGCTTCTCTCTCCCTGCCCCATAGGCTTCTTTTTCCCTAGTTAGGGAGCAGAACTTTAGARGGTTCGTGATGAAGTGCTTTCGACTTAT